AGATTAGCTGACAGTAGGAGAGAGTTAGTACTATATTTTAATGGGTCAAATGAAAAAAATAGGTCAGGAATATGGGAAATGGCACCTAAAACGAACTTTCTATGACAGTTTTTAATTTGATGTCCAGTGAGTTTATTCTGCCAAATTGTTGAAAAATTATCCATCGATATCGTTACTTGGATTGACTGAAGTTATGAACCACAAATTCCCGAGGTTACCGGTAAAATTGTTCCAAATTATTGCATTTACAATCCCTCAATATATTTTTGTAATTTGCTATATTTACTCATTGATCTATATTTAGTCCCCTTTCGGACGAATGAATTTGGGTTCATTCCGTCCGTCCGTCCGTCCGTCCGTCCGCACGTACGTCCGGAGCTATATCTCCGACACCCATTGACGGATTTCATTCAAACTTTACATGAAGACAATACATAATGTCTTACAAATGTTCGTCAAGTAACTTTATGATCGGAGCAAATAGCAAATTTTACATCCAAAATGGCCGCCAGTCGGCCATTTTGGATGTAAAATTTTGTATTTCTGATACCTAAACGTGTCCGCAGCAGTTTCTCGGAGATGACTGGGCCGATTTGGATCAGACTTGGTATGATGATCATACATATTTGGTTATAGGTGCACGTCATACTTTTTCCGTGATTAAAACATTTTGTTTTTTATGATACCCATGCCTACTTTCCCATGAATGCAATGAACATTTCTGTTTAAATTTTGTACAAAAACAGTATACCAATAGATACATCAACATGAACATTATTTTTGTAATTTGATTCAATATGACTGCCCAATGTCCAATTCTTGTGTAAAAGCACTAAATCATATATTTTTTACAAATTCATTTCCTATCAATGGTTTCAATCTAATCTCAATGACTTCATCAGCAACAAATTGATATGTCAGATCACAAAATTTTGGACGGGGGCTGTGTCACTAACAATGACTTGTTATTCATTGAATTTTAGTAGGAATAATACGAACCTTGAAGTGTTGATCGAGACTTTCTTGGTGTGTGTGTATTTATAGTTTTAAAACAAAAGAGAAAAATAATTATTTTTCTTTTCACATTTTTACAAGGCCTTTGATACATTTTTTTAATTCTGTTTACATTTTACTGCAGATTATATTTCAAATTTATCAACTATCATTATCGTTCCATTAATAATACTGCACAATTTCAGAATAAAAATGGTAAGCTGCTTCTATGTTTGTTTTTTATATTAATTGATATTCAAGGCGATACGTATTCTGTGGTCATACAGTGTAAAAAAGACATGTTTACTGGTAGGCAAGTTGCTGATCATCTCCGAGAATGTTATCGAACTATCAACTAACTCTACATTATAGGAAAGAAAAAAAATTGAAAGAATAAAAAAGCTGAACAGCAGAGGAAGCCATGGGGCAAAGAACAAATTCATGAAGAAATAAATATTTTTGCAATACATTTAGTCAGTTACTTGATAAACTCCCAAAAATGACAATCAGTTATTTGTTGTTGGTTTAATTTATTCATATTAATATAATAACATTAATATGACAAAAAATCTACTTGGTAACAGTTGACTGGAAAGAATCTTCTTTCTGACTTCATCTGCTAAAAATGTCATGCAATTCGGTTGAGAAATACAAGATTGTTTTGTCATACAATTAGTGCCACTATCTTCTTCAATAGTCAATTATGCAAATTAATGTCTGAAATAATGACCACTAATTGAATCTTAAAAGTGCTGTAACTTTTCAACAAGACCTCCAATTTAGATCGTGTAAAGTGCACTGCAGTTGTGTACATACACAATTTCCCCCTGAAAACCCTAATTAGCTACTGATCAGATTATACAGACATTGCTTGCAAATTTGCTAAAACTTTTACTAGTATGTAAAAAAACGTATGCCAAAGCTCCAGGAAGGGTTGGTACTCCCAAAATTAAAGTATACCGGAATGCGTTTTCCTGGCCAAGCCGATATTTTTGTGACAGCCTAGTTCAAGATTGTTGTAATTTTAGCAAAATTTAGGCCATTTTTCTTGGATCCTATTTTTAACTGGCTGTGGAGCACTCCCACCCAAAACCCAAGCGAGTGCCCTCTCACGAGGGCAACCCAGCTCATGACATCACATGACAATATATACACTGAAGGGCGGTACGTATATTATACATCACATGACAATAAATACACTGAAGGGCGGTACGTATATTATACATCACATGACAATGTATACACTGAAGGGCGGTACGTATATTATACATCACATGACAATATATACAATGAAGGGCGGTACGTATATTATACATCACATGATAATATATACACTGAAGGGCGGTACGTATATTATACATCACATGACAATATATACACTGAAGGGCGGTACGTATATTATACATCACATGACAATATATACAATGAAGGACGATACGTATATTATACATTACATGACAATATATACAATGAAGGACGATACGTATATTATACATCACATGACAATATATACACTGATGGGCGATACGTATATTATACATCACATGACAATAAATACACTGATGGGCGATACGTATATTATACATCACATGAAAATAAATACAATGAATGGCGATACGTATAATATACATCGCACGACAATATATACACTGAATTGCGGTACGTATATTATACATTACATGACAATGTATACACTGAAGGGCGGTACGTATATTATACATCACATGACAATATATACACTGAAGGGCGGTACGTATATTATACATCACATGACAATATATACACTGAAGGGCGGTACGTATATTATACATCACATGACAATGTATACACTGAAGGGCGATACGTATATTATACATCGCACGACAATATATACACTGAAGGGCGGTACGTATATTATACATTACATGACAATATATACACTGAATTGCGGTACGTATATTATACATTACATGACAATATATACACTGAATTGCGGTACGTATATTATACATCACATGACAATAAATACACTGAAGGGCGGTACGTATATTATACATTACATGACAATATATACACTGAATTGCGGTACGTATATTATACATTACATGACAATATATACACTGAATTGCGGTACGTATATTATACATCACATGACAATATATACACTGAAGGGCGGTACGTATATTATACATTACATGACAATATATACACTGAATTGCGGTACGTATATTATACATTACATGACAATATATACACTGAATTGCGGTACGTATATTATACATCACATGACAATATATACACTGAAGGGCGGTACGTATATTATACATTACATGACAATATATACACTGAATTGCGGTACGTATATTATACATTACATGACAATATATACACTGAATTGCGGTACGTATATTATACATTACATGACAATATATACACTGAACGACAGTGCGGATATCACACAACGAACGGCAGAAAAACAAATTATCGTCATGAACATCTTTCGCCACGCCACGCCAAACGCTATACCGCACGTCACTTTAACCATGAATTAATCAGAAACGTTACATTTAAATAGAACACATTTAGTTTACTAAGTCGTGACTTCCATAAATCGACACCAGATAAGGACAGAAGACATGTACATCCGATAAATGCGTCCATGTCGCTACTTGATATATATAATTCACATTGACAACTTACATATATAATTTAAACAACTTCCATTTTCATGAAATGTGTAATAAAATGAGAAATGTTCGTTAAAATATCGTATAAACAAATAAAGTAACGTCAAAAACGTCAACGATAACGTCTAATAGGTGCAAGGTACCCGTTACAAGTCACACACAACAGCAACTGTCAACCGTTATAACATCAAAAGTGGGCGATACAGCGCCCTAATTGACCAAATTGTTTGTACCGCTACGATACGTTGGTGGCGTTAATAATTCACGTTAAATAAACGGTATATAAAATGTGTTGAATAAATTAAACATGAAGTCACGGGTATCCATCTCAAGTCGGACATTCCTCTGGTCTTATACATGTGTTGGCAGAAACAACATAACCTTCTGGGCAAGTGCATCCTGGACTGCATATTTCCCTGCATTCATTGAGTCGATTTCTGAATTGACACGTCTTCTGACAAGCAGGGGCACACTTGTCATATGCAGCACCACGAGGACACACGTCAACTGAAGAATACATTACACAAATATAAATTAATATAATTACAATGAGTGGTAGTATGGGGACGCGGTGTGCGTACATTTATTGTGTGCGGGTATTAGTTCAACATAAAGAATTAGATATACTGGTATATGACAGGTCAAAATAACTAACATGGTGATCATTCAATCATCAACATGTGCAACAGTTCAGGAATTTGGTTATCAAATTATCAAAGAAATTATGCCAAACCATGTGAACGTCTGTTTTAAGAATCGCACTTTAGTAATAGAAAATATGCATATAGTGTTTTATTTAAATCATTGCGTCAAACTTACTTTTACACACGTTTCGCCGTTTCCAATTGACATCTAATCCAATCCTGATGCACGCCCTGTGATAGGCAATGGTGGCTTCACATTGACACTGTCTATCGTCAGTGCACTCGCACATATCCGTTACACATGAACTAAAGCGAAATGACAGAATATACAGTTGCAAGAATAGAGGTATGAGCCCCCAAAGTTGTAAATATGCATTAATACCAGTAATAATCGGCCCAACCATGTAAACGAATCAGTTGATAACATGTTCAAATGTTAATTTTGGATGTTTGGAGACCGCCAGTATGCAATTTAGTTAATTAATATCCAGCCGATAATAAATAATTTTGTTAAATATTCGTCTATACAAACGACAAACATGTAGAACATTTCAATTCATTACAGTAATTTCTTGCAATGATGAAAACAAATTATGTGAATTCACTAATTAATATGCACAGGTAAAATCAATTACACGTTATTAAAATAGAACATGTGGTATATCGCTGTATGCAGGCGCCAAGTACAAATCTAATCAGGTTTGGTATTCATGTTATAGAAGCTGTGGACAGACAGACAGACTTACTTGTAATATTGCTCGACGTCAACTCTTTTTTTGCATTCATCAAAGACGCGGGAGTGTAAAATTCGACATTTTTTCTCTGCTTTCTTTTTTCTTTTCGAACCTTCTTCACAGTGTTCGTCTCTCCCTTTGATGCGTTTTCGTTCTGGACGATCACAGACACTGCGTCTCCCAATTCGCCAAGTCTCGGCAAATAACGGGGCATGATTTTTAACAACGCCACCACGAGTTGTGTAGTCATCCCACAAATTACCATTGTAGTTTCCACATAGGCCACAGACTTTATTTTTGTACGATATTGGTATTACTACTTCAAGGTAGCTATCTCCGTCCCATCTTATAACCATTCCTAAACAAAATAATGCAATCGTTAGAATTGCTCATGTATTTGCAAGTCTACACAAAGAAATAATTTCTGTGAAGAATTGGAGCGTGCACGTCAAAACATTCATTCAGCTAAGAAAGCTATACATGTCAAACATAATACATCCACCCATTTAAAATGGCTACATGCCAAACAAAGCATCACTCCAGCAAATAGATCAATGTCATAAACAAAATTTCCGACAATCTAGGAGGTCTATACAAATCAAAAACAACACATCCACCAAGCTAGGAGGGCAAAATGTCAAATACAGAAAATACCTCAGCTAGGAGGGCTACGTGTCAAACAACACATCCACCAAGCTAGGAGGGCTAAATGTCAAATACAGAAAATACCTCAGCTAGGAGGGCTACGTGTCAAACAACACATCCAACAAGCTAGGGGGGCTAAATGTCAAATACAGAAAATACATCAGCTAGGAAGGCTACGTGTCAAACAACACGTCCAACAAGCTAGGAGGGCTAAATGTCAAATACAGAAAATACCTCAGCTAGGAGGACTACGTGTCAAACAACACATCCACCAAGCTAGGGGGGCTAAATGTCAAATACAGAAAATACCTCAGCTAGGAGGACTACGTGTCAAACAACACATCCACCAAGCTAGGAGGACTAAATGTCAAATACAGAAAATGCCTCAGCTAGGAGGGCTACGTGTCAAACAACACATCCAACAAGCCAGGAGGGCTAAATGTGAAATACAGAAAATACCTCAGCTAGGAGGACTACGTGTCAAACAACACATCCAACAAGCTAGGGGGGCTAAATGTCAAATACAGAAAATACCTAAGCTAGGAGGGCTACGTGTCAAACAACACATCCACCAAGCGAGGGGGCTGAATGTCAAATACAGAAAATACCTCAGCTAGGAGGACTACGTGTCAAACAACACATCCACCAAGCTAGGGGGGCTAAATGTGAAATACAGAAAATACCTCAGCTAGGAGGCTACGTGTCAAACAACACATCCACCAAGCTAGGGGGCTAAATGTCAAATACAGAAAATACCTCAGCTAGGAGGACTACGTGTCAAACAACACATCCACCAAGCTAGGGGGGCTAAATGTCAAATACAGAAAATACCTCAGCTAGGAGGGCTACGTGTCAAACAACACATCCAACAAGCTATGTGGGATACACGTCAAAAGCAAAATGTCAGTCAAGATGGGAGGGCTTTACAGGTCAAAGACAACGTATCCTTCTCAGCTAGGAGGGCTACACGTCAAACACGACACTTACAGCAAGCTAAAGGGATACATGTCAAACACAACATGTTCTCCAAGCTAGGGGGGTTACATGTCAAAGACAACATGCCTACTAAGCTGGGAAGGTTACGTAGAAAACACAAGACATCCACCAGCTAGTAGGGCCACATGTCAAACACAGCACATCGAACAAACATTCAGACCAGGTCGAATAGTTATAAATTGAATTTGGAAATCTTACTCAGAATAAACTGCTACTTGCGTTAATAATCACACAATCAAAATATCAAGTATTCAATACCAATATTACCTAAACGTGTTGTCATTGTTACCATATTTTCTCTTATTTCTATATAAAACACAGATGATTCCTCGAATGGCAGTGAAATTGGATGTTGTTTGTATCTTACGTTCAACCCCTGGTGAAACGTGACGTCATAGTCACCAATGGTTATGTAAACAGACTTGGTCCATGAAAAGGAGGCAGTGTTGCGAGCACTGTTCTTCACTCGGACAATGAAACTGTTATCATGGCAATCTGAGGTAAGTACATATTTGCAAGTTCCTTGGAAGTTGTAGAGCCGTCCGTCGTACGTTTTGTAATGCGGATCCCCAAATACTGTACATACACCCATATCTAAGTAACGAGAATATCAATTATCTGGGAACATTCGTAACGCTTTGTTGGATTTCAGAACCGTGACTATTATTTGAAATATGTTTAGCGCGTCTCAATATTCGTTTGATTGTTTTTCGTCAGTCCCCTATTATTAATTATAAATTATGGTGAATACTCAAATATTCTCCACGAATCGCAAACATTCTGATAGCTTCAAAAATGCCAAATATCATTTCTAAAATCCAAGACAAATAAATGGATAATCTCACTGAGCACATGCAATAATATGCGATCATCTATTTAGCAGCGATACATGTGATAGTTCGTTATGTGCTACAGGTACTCACTTTCCACACATCGGTAACAGCATTCACCATCACCCTTCGTAAGTGTGTGGTCCTGAAAAAAGACAATACATGGTTAACATGTCGAAATGAAATTCGTGCCTCATTATTTCCAGTGCTTTAGTTTTGACAAATCTTCCAATAAATGTCAATGTGTGAATAAATTAGGGTTTATTATTGAGATAATATCTAACAGTATCTCTATTTCGAGCTAGTGTCGACAGTTGCATATGTCTACCGATTTGGAGATAGTATTCGTTTGAGGGAAAGTGTCTTGCTGTATGTAGGTAGGTAGGTAGGTAGGTAGGTAGGTAGGTCGGTTTGGGAGTTTAATTGTTTATATTCTGATGATCAACAGGATTAAGCTCTGCGACAACACAAGACAAGATGAGATACAACGAAAGGCAAAAACATAATAAAAATTATACTATAAAAATCTATGGTTGACAAAACATAAACTTAAACATAAACTGTATATACCAGTAGCAATGGAATCGGGTCAATCTGATTAAAATCTGATGTAGTGTACGGGCTTTAATTATTTTGCCTATAAACTTATTTTAATTTTATTTTGTATTACTTTTGTTATTAATGCCTTTTTATTTTATTATTATTTTACTTTGATTTTGTGATTTTTTTTTTAATTCCGCCCTACCTACGTCTGACCCGATGCCTATGTAACGAGATTTCAACGAGACCCACTATCGACGATTTTAGTCAACGAATCACAGACCTCCTTCTATAGCGCATATGATGACGTCACCGGGCAAAGTCAGGTGGCAAACACACTCAAATAAAATGGCGGATTATACCGACGTTAGCGACCGAGAATAACACGGCTTTTCGGTAAGTTTATCATTGTCAAATGCAACGAAAGTCATTTTTATGTTAATATTGTGGCTCGAGTTTAGATCGTTAATTTGCGTAGTTATTCTGGGAGTGACGATTTTGTTTCCACCGGTTCGACCGAACACCGGTGTCTTTTTCCAATCGCTTGCCCTGGAGACGGGCAATGCTTTGTTGACGATCGGGCCAAAATCGTCTACGGTATTGAAGCCGTAGCTGTAAATATTCATCAAAATGTATCAACATTTTGTACATTATACAATAACTCTTTATTAAAGTAATTGAACTGATTTGGACTGGAATAAAATATTTTTTATTTGGAACACATCGCAATTGATCAGGAAATATGTGTTTGCTCCAATTTTCTTCGTCGATTTTGTGGGCCGGTGACCGTTATACAATTTAAAATCAGTTAGCTGTTTACAGTGTTCTCATCATTACAATTTACTTATTTGTTTGCTTCCATTCTAGATAATTATGCTCAGTGTTTGATGTAAAATTGAAGCGATGACTGAATGAACGAACCTTGGCTGTCGAAGATGTATTTGCAAGTGTACACATTTAAATTGTTGGAAGTGAAAAATATATTCAATGTAATGACATAAATTGTAAAATGCTGTGGAATTTCTTTTGTAAATAAAAATATACTAGCAATTTTCTATTATTGGTTTATTCAAGTGGGCAAAATATACTGTACAGAAAGATTGCCCGTAGAGTATCGCTACACTGAAAAGTAAGCAACCGACAGCCTGTATAAAAGGGGGTGTGTGATTGGCTGTTACTTACGCGAGATTTGAACGGGACTTACATAGGCGTCGGATCAGAT